CGTGGACTCGCGGGCGGGACCGTGCCCGTGGTTTTTGTCTGCGGCCCCCGGGCGGTGTTGGGGCGGGAGGCTTCACCCGAGGGAGGGGTAATGGCGACTTGGCCCATTTTCTCCGAGGGCCTTTGTGTAGCGGGGGAAACTGAGGCACGGGGCTCTCTGGCTTGTGCCTGAGGTGTGGACACAGCAGTCCCCAGACCTGCCCTACGGGCTCCTGTGATAACTATTAAAATCAATTAAGGAATCTGAACTAGCCCTACGTTACATACCCTCCCCCCTTTATTTTTCCCCATAGAGGGCCATGAGTTTGTCTTGCCACATGAAAGATGACCTTTCGATCAAAGAACGTCATCTGTTCCTGTTCTCCTTACTTGGCTCACCCTGTTTTCAGCTCATTTTCGTGCGGGGGTAACCCAGGTCCCCACCCCCTTGCGCCCCGGGAGTGACTGGAAGAGCCCTTTCCTGTCCGTGGTTATCACTGACCCCTCCGTGGGGCGCGCCCCGAGCGAAAAGGTACTTGGGTTGCCCAAGTCAGCATTGCTTTTCCCTGAAACTTCTCTTACATTAACGGAGAATGCTTCTAATGTAACAGCAATAAAATGATTTAAAAACGATATTGTTGATAATCGGGCCAAAAATTGCATCCTTTGTAAATGATACTGGGCAAGGTAGGTGTGTGGGCCATTGGAAAGATTCTCCCTGGCTCTGATTTGATGCTTTAAATGACTGCATTTCTGCCAAAAGCTTTGCACCGACTCCGAGTGTTTTCTTACCTATGGTGGGTCCAGGGGTCTGGTTCGCTGGGACCTGTTTGCCCAGGAAGACTTTAAGGCCGGAGCTATAGAGTCAATATGCGAGTGTTCTCCTCCAGCCACCTTCGTTCCTTTCCCGGAAAAACTGTGTTGTGTGGGACATCCTGAGGGCGGAAGAACACTTCTTTTTAAAATTTGAAACTTGTAGCCTGTCGTTTGTTTCTGGATGTGCAGAGCACGATGGCGGCGTCCGAGGTCGCCGGTGTGGCCAGTGCCCCCAAACCCCCGGAGTCCTCTGGTCTGTGCGCTTCCAAATCAGAAGAAGGCCTGCTAGATGGTCTAAGGTAACGCATGGGTTCTTGGCGGGGAGACTTGGGGTGAAGGGCCTCGTGGAAGGGTAGCTGGTCTTTCCTCTTTTTGGTTCTAGTAGCCCTGCACTAGATTGAGCTTTCTAAAGGTAAGGACTAGCCCTAACTGGTTTGGCTCAATGGATAGAGCGTCGCCCTGCGGACTGAAGGGTCCCAGGTTCGATTCCGGTCAAGGGCATGTACCTTGGTTGCGGGCACATCCCCAGTAGGAGATGTGCAGGAGGCAGCTGATCAATGTTTCTCTCTCATTGATGCTTCTGACTCTCTATCCCTCTCCCTTCCTCTCTGTAAAAAATCAATAAAATATATTTAAAAAAATAGATAAATAAAGGTAAGGACTAGCTGATCTATGTTTGTATTTCCAACAGTGTCTGACCACACGCTAAATATTTGTTGACAGAATACAGGTGGTCAGACTCATCCAAAAGTGAGAATTATTTCCTCATTCTATCCTACATGAATTATATGTTCATTTAAGTACGTGTTTATATATTATACATTTGTATATTCACATATACATCTTCTATGTAACACATATACTCATAGGTACATGTGTCCATACAGTTATATGTGTGTGTGTTTGTATATCTGTGTCGGTAGATAGCTTTGGTAATATGGCTTACTGCTTTATGTATATATTTTGCCTTCCGTCTGAACTCTTGAGGGAAGGGATTATGATTACCCAACCTTCTATCTTACATGCTTGGCACAGTGTATGTACAGGGTTGTACTAAATTGACTATATAGTCTACGTCAGCTCTTTTCTACAGTACCTAGGACTTAATACAATATATAATACTGTACTAACAGCTTTATATATATTAACACATTTAATCCTCCCAACAATACCAGGAGGTAGGTGCTAATATTATTATTCCCATTTACAGGTGAGGAAACTGAGACACAGAGAGGTTAGTAACTTGCCCAAGGTTACCGAACTATGTTGGAGTCAGGGTTTGAACCCAGGCTTGTCTGGTTCCAGTAAATGTTTGTTTAAATGAACAGAAGTTTGCTAGTGAATGGCTAATGGGGCAGATGTTAAGTAAGCCTAACCATAAACTTGGATCTTCATTTTATAAATAAAATCAGCCACATACTATTAGTAATGATATTACCAGTTAAGGTGTATCGGGTGTTTACTATGTGCCAGGCACTGTACTAAACACTTCAGAAACATTGTCTCATGTAATCCTCACAATAATTGTAATAGGTAGGTAATATTATTTCTGTTTTTAAAATGAAGTTAAGTAGTTTGCCCAGAGTCAAACAACTGCTAAATAACAGAGTCAGGATTCCATCCAGACACTACACATGCCCAAATTTGTAATTAGGTGCCTCCTTGCCCCTCAGTTAACTCCCAGCAAGGAATCAGCTTGGAGTATTTATAAAGATTTTCATAATGCAAGATGCTCTCTGTTGTTTTATTTTGAACAGCAAGTACTATTAAGGAAAGCAAGGATAGTGACCTGATGCCTCATTCTAGTGTGCGGTGCTTAAGGGCATCAGTTGACAAAACCAATTTTAAAAAAAGGAAAAGAAATTTAACACAGATTTAGTCATTATTCCTGGATGAAAAATTTATAGTTGTGAATGTTGGATATCATTGTAAATAGGTTTTAAAGATCTCTTTAAAAACCAATATGTTGCCCTGGTTGGTGTTGCTCAGTGCTTAGAGTGTTGGCCGGCATGTGCACCAAAGGGTGGCAGGTTTGGTATCTAGTCAAGGGCACATACTTGGGTTGCAGGTTTGATCCCTGGCCCTGGTCAGGGTGTATGCAGGAGGCAACCAATCTCTCTCCCTCCCTCTCTTTCTCCTCTTCCTTCTCCTTCCCTCCCCACCTTTTCTTCCCTTCCTCTCTTTCTGAAAGTCAATGGAAAGAATATTCTCGGGTGAGGATTAATAAACAACAACAACAAAAACACACTATGTTAAGTGTCTGTGATACACAGTAAAACAACCATCCCAGTGTTGTACATGTATGTACTTGTCTGGGATAAAATTTCTACTGACAGCTTCAGTTTTGGATTCAAAAGTGTTTGTATTTCACACAGCTTGAAGTGAAGATTCTATGCTCTGGAAAACTTGAAGAACCTAAAAAGTGGTTCTGCTCAGAGATCTGTATAATGAGTTTGAGTGAAAATTTTTTGTGTGAAACATGAGAGTGGAATAAAACCTATTTCTAAATTGATGTTTTATTAAAATATATGTAACTAAATTAATGCATATAACTAAATGAAATATTCTAACTAGCATTAGGCTATTTCCTCTGTATCCCTAAAAGTTATTCAACTTCACCCTCAAAGATTTTTAGTCACTTATGTGTCATCATTTACTGGAGACTGTCTCTAGAACCTAGGTTCTTTTTAAAAAAATATATATTTTTTATTGACTTGAGAGAGAGAGAAAGGGAGAGTGTGAGAAACATCCATGTGAGAGAAAAGCATTGATGGACTGCTTCCTGCATGCACCCTACCAGGGATCAAGCCCAAAACCTGGGCATGTGCCCTGACTGGGAATTGAACCAGCAACCTTTCCGTTGCACTGGACATCGCTCAACCAACTGAGCCACACCAGCCGGGGCCAGAACCCAGGTTCTTAACCACCAAGCTGTATTCCCTGCATGTGGGAGAAAATCACTGGATAGAAAGGAAGTTCCTTTTCATTTTGATAATTTGAGGGGTTGTATAGTCCAGTTTTGTTCTTTTAGTGGTTATGTTAGAAGTATTGCATATTTAACCCTCTTTAAGACTGGGTGAAGAGAGAACCTTTTTGTCTTGTGTTTTGGTAGCCCCAAAGACCCTGCACAGAAGCACAAGAACTCACCTCTGTCGAGTGTAAGTAGCCAAACGATAACCAAGGAGAATAACAGAAATGTCCATTTGGAACAACCAGAGCAGAATCCTGGTTCGTCAGCAGGTGACACCTCAGCAGCGCACCAGGCGGTTTTAGGAGAAAACTTGATAGCCACAGCCCTTGGTCTTTCTGGCGGTGGGTCTCAGTCTGATTTGAAGGACGTGGCCAGCACAGCAGGAGAGGAGGGGGATCCGTGCCTCCGGGAGAGCCTCCATCCTGTCACTCGGTCTCTTAAGGCAGGGGGCCATGCAAAGCAACTTGCCTCCGGGAATTGTCCTGAAGAGAAGTCCCCACAAGCCTCCATCCTAAAGGAAGGGAGCAGGGACACAGGCTTGGATTTCCGACCTGTAGTACCTCCAGCAAATGGGGTTGAAGGAGTCAGAGTGGATCAGGATGATGATCAGGATAGCTCTTCCCTGAAGCTTTCTCAGAACATTGCTGTACAGGTCAAGTATCAAGTTTCTACTATTACAATCGAATTTGGGCTTTTTTTTTTTTTTTTTTTGAGGGAAGAGACATTTCTTCATGGTTGGTGGAGACTACTCTTTATCATTTTTTTACTGGCAGCTGTCATACTATTTCCATTTGGTGCTATGTAATGGCTTCATCCTGGTGTTCAAGAAATAGTAAAGCCAGGAGCCATTGCCTAATTGTGGTGACTAGGAACCTGACAGTCTCCATATAATGTCTCTCACTGAGTAATGAAGAGTGTAGCCTCTGCACCTGGGTGTTCTGGGGGATAAGTGCTTCCTGCAGGGTGCATGTCAGCGTCCATTTGCCAGAGTTGCGGTGCTGCTCTTGCTGTGCAGCCAACACGTTAGCCTCTTCGTTGCACAGATTTTAGGTGAAAGTACGAGAGCAATTCTCCCTCTTCAAATGCCACTGACCAGTTCTGAATATGCTGTTTCTGTCTTTATAGACTGACTTTAAGACGGCTGATTCAGAAGTAAACACAGATCAAGATATTGAAAAGAATCTGGTAAGTTTTTGAACTGTCATTTTTGATATATGAAAGCATTAATGCAGAAAATCCAGAGTCATGTGATCTCAGTCAGAAAAGATGCAGGAGCCTCCTTTATAAAATTCCCAACATTAGTTAGCTAACTTCTACTTGATCACTTCCAGAGATGGGAAGCTTACTGCTCACAAAGCAGCCTGTTGCATTTTTATTTTCATTATTTTATTTTATTTATTTATTTTTTAAAATATATTTTTATTGATTTCAGAGAGGAAGGGAGCGGGAGAGAGAGATAGAAACATCAGTGATGAGAGAGAATCATTGATCGGCTGCCTCCTGCACACCCCCCACTGGGGATTGAGCCCGCAACCCAGGCATGTGCCCTTGACTGGAATCGAACCTGGGACCCTTCAGTCCGCAGGCCAATGCTCTACCCACTGAGCCAAAATGGCTAGGGCATGTTGCATTTTTAAAATAGCTCTTTCTGGGGTGAGGACAGAACCTCTAAAACTTGTTATAATTTTTCCTGGAGTTATGAAGAATAAATCTAAATCCTCTTTTGCTTGTTAGCCCTATGTATTTTTTTTCGAGGGGGAAGTGCGTTCACTTGGTGTATGTACAGGAAGATGCTATTGTGGACCCACAGAACCAGACCATGACCACCTTCCCCTGAACATCAACCACACCCGGCTGGTGGTGGTGGAGGAACAATGTGATTACCGTATGAACTGATTACAGAAGCTGGACTGACATCCACTGGGAAGGCTGGGTCTCCTCTAGCTCACTTGGCATTTCCAGAGCTGTCCAGGAATTTGGTCTCTTCTGGTTCAAAAGCAATGTGACCAAGACGATGAAGGATTCTGAATATATCTTGGCCAAGCTGCAAGGTGAGGCTCCTTCCAAAAGCTTTGCTGAGACAGCCAAGGAAGTCAAGGAGGATTGAATTCAACAAGTATTTGCTAGATATTATTCCAGGTACTAGGGACACAGCAGAGAACAAAACAAAGGTCCCTGCCCTTGTGGAGCTTACAGTCCAGTGTTTATGACCACTTTGCCTGCACGCTGTGACCCTGGGCAAGCCATGGCACCTCTCGGCTCCTCTGTCCCTCAGCTACCTGATGCTGAAGGAAGTGGGCCCAACCCAGCTGCTGTGGCTCTGGGTGAGCATCGACCTTGGACCAAGAGGCCGAGGTTCGATTCCTGGTCAGAACACATGCCTGGGTTGCAGGCTCGATCCCCAGTAGGGAGCCTACAGTAGGCAGCCAATCAATGATTCTCTCCCACAATTGATGTTTCTATCTCTCTCTCCCTCTCCCTCCCTTTCTGAAATCAACAAAAATATATTTTTTTAAAAAAGTGGGCCCAGCCTAGACATGAGTAACATGTGTGATGCACTAATGATGCCAAACAGACACCATGCCCAACCCACCACCCAAAAAGTAGATGGGGCTGGAAGTTGACTTTTAATAATAAAGTAGAGGGAGGAGGACAGAGGGAGTGCAGCCGCACTGGGGCCAGCTGTCTACACAAGCTATTGCTGCTGCTGCGTCTTCATGGCTGCCTTGCCGGCGAGGTCTTGGGCCTTCTTTGTGTTGCCAGTGCCGTTCTCTGCCTCCTCCTTGACTTCCTTGGCTGTCTCAGCAAGGCTTTTGGAAGGAGCCTCACCTTGCAGCTTGGCCAAGATATATTCAGAATCCTTCATCGTCTTGGTCACATTGCTTTTGAACCAGAAGAGACCAAATTCCTGGACAGCTCTGGAAATGCCAAGTGAGCTAGAGGAGACCCAGCCTTCCCAGTGGATGTCAGTCCAGCTTCTGTAATCAGTTCATACGGTAATCACATTGTTCCTCCACCACCACCAGCCGGGTGTGGTTGATGTTCAGGGGAAGGTGGTCATGGTCTGGTTCTGTGGATCCACAATAGAATCTTCCAGGGCATACACCGAGTGAGCAGTATTGGCAGGAAATAGTCGCTTGGCCCAGCAGGAGTCTCTGGGGCAGGGGTCACCGCCCTGTGCACTGTGTCTTCCGCAGGACATGGTTGCTGTAGGGATTCGGATACCACTGCCAGAAGGCCGAGAACACTTGGTCCAAGGAACTCCGGGGCATGCTGTGGCCCAGGAAATACTCTGCCATCGTCCCCAGTCGGGGCAGGCTCAGCATCAGGGTGCAGGGGCTGGGGGCGGGGGCGGGGGAGCCATGCCAGAGGCGGCACAAACCACCTGGCTTGAAGCTCAGTCACCACCCCTCAGTGCCCCACCGGCTGCTGCCACCATGAGAAGTTGTCCAGTTGCCTTACATATTTTTGAAGGTTTTTTACCCTGCTTCTTCCTCTTAGCTCTCAGATCTGAAGTTTTCCAGGTGAAACATTCTCCAGATGTTTTTAACATTCTGTATATAATGTTTTCAGTCCTTTCATCACCCTGGTTACCTTTCACCTAGACATGTTCCATCTCATCAGGGTTTCTTTTGAAATGTGATCCTGAGAACAAATGTAATAATCCAGACAGACTATAATTAGTTCACGATACAATGGGCCTCTCATTCTCTAACTCTCATTCTAAACACTATTTCTTAAGCTGTTGGTTTATTTTGACAGTCTCGTCACACTGTTGAGCTTTCAGTCAAATGCCATCAAGTCTCATCCTATCTGATAAAAGAGTAATATGCTGACCATCACTCCAACACACAAGATGGCCACCCACATGTGGTCAAAGATGACCGCCACAGATGGCCGGCAGGGGAGGGCAGTTAGGGGCAACTAGGTTGGCAGGGAGGGCAGTAGGGACGATCAGGCCAGCAGAGGAGGACAGTTGGGGACCCAGGCCTGCAGGGGAGGGCAGTTGGGGGGAACCAGGCCTGCAGGAGAGGGCAGTTGGGGGCGACCAGGCTGGCAGGGGAGGGCAGTTAGGCATCGGTCAGGCTGGCAGAGGAGGGAAGTTAGGGGTGACCAGGCCTGCAGGGGAGGGCAGTTGGGGGCGACCAGGCTGGCAGGGGAGAGCAGTTAGGTGTCGATCAGGCTGGCAGGGGAGTGGTTAGGGGGCAATAAGGCAGGCAGGCAGGAGAGCGGTTCGGAGCCAGCAGTCCTGGATTGTGAGAGGGATGTCCTAGATTGGAGAGGGTGCAGGCTGGGCTGAGGGACACACACGCGCCCCCCCCCCCCCGCACGAATTTCGTGCACCAGGCCTCTAGTGTATTATATAGTTGTATCTGCCCATTTTATTCCTAGGCAATTAGTTTTTGGAACTTAGAGAACTTCACATTTATCTTTGCTAAAATGGTCCTCTTGATTTTGTGGCAAAAACTTCCACCCCTTTAGTGAATGCATAGCTAATATATATTTTTCAAGAGGAAGGATAATGCTAGGAAAGCCCCCTAGGGTCAGGTAGAGGTCTTTAGGGGAAGATGTGTTAATTGAGTGGAGAAAGGAAAAGTGCTTGTATTACCCAGATGAAAGTGAATATGTAGAGCATGTTGAAGGACTTGAGCAAATGGAAATAAGTAAGTTATTGGAACATATTAATCAGATGATGCCAATGAAAACTTTTAAATAGAGAGTAACAACTCAGGAATTATTAATAACGGGCAGGTAAAAAGATCCCAGAGACTAGAGGCCTCATGGAAATGTGCGGGGTAGAAGAGAACCTCCAGAGAAAGGGGGAGAAGTCATCTTTTATTGAGCACTTATGCTAATCAGTTTATTTACACAGAGTATTTATTTTGTCCCCATAGTTTAATGTGGGGTTTGGATGACTGTATAGCAATTGAATGGGCCAACTAAAGTTATAAATACACTTTAGTATTAGTCTGAAACGGGTGGAAACTGTCAGGCAATTGGGCCAAAAGAGGCCCAGGATTGTTTTGTTCGGTTGTATTTTTCTTTAAAAAAGGCACTGGGCCCTAGCTGGTTTGGCTCAGTGGATAGAGCATTGGCCTGTGGACTGAAGGGTCCCAGGTTCAATTCCAGTCAAGGGCACATGCCTGGGTTGCGGGCTTGACCCCCCCAGTAGGGGGCGTGCAGGAGGCAGCCGATCAGTGATTCTCTCTCATCACTGATGTTTCTGTCTCTCCCTCCCTCTCCCTTCCCTCTGAAATTAATAAAAATACATATTTTTTAAAAAGGCAGTGGAACTAGGCAGGTGTTAAGCTTAGCGGCAATACAAGAAACTGGGCTCCAGTTTTATTTGCTATTTTCATGCATTTATGGTAATTGCCCACTACCTTATACTGCTGTGTTTTAAATTGATCCTCTTTAAGTTTTAGTGCCCCTTTGAAAGGTAACCACAACTTTTCTTGATTTACTGATTTGAGGGAGGCAGAGCTGAACTGTGTTCCTTGCTTCTGCTCCCTACTTTATATGAGAGCTTGCTCATTTGCTCAGTCTGAATCCCAAGTTCCCTAGACCGCTTTGTGGGTCTGTAAGTTTTCAGAGCTAATGATGTAAGAAACCCTGTTTCTGGATGCATTTTGGTAGGTGACATGTTCTTTGTTTTTGCCCATTCTTTCTCTTAAAGCAGGGGTCCTCAAACTTTTTAAACAGGGGGCCAGTTCACTGTCCCTCAGACCCTTGGAGGGCCGGACTATAGTTTAAAAAAAACTATGAACAAATTCCTATGCACACTGCACATACCTTATTTTGAAGAAAAAAAAAATGGGAACAAATACAATATTTGTATTTGCATGTGGCCCGCGGGCCGTAGTTTGAGGACCCCTGTCTTAAAGGATGATAAAGTGCCTTCTTCCTCTTATTTCCTAGAGCAGGGATTGGCAAACTTTTTCTCTAAAGGGTCAGATGATAAATATCTTGGGCTTCATGTATGTGCTCGGTTGTAACATTCCACTCTGCCGTTGTAGTGTGAAATCAGCCCGTAAGCCATTGACTATGGTGTGTTTCTATAAAACTTTTATTTACAAAAACAGGCAATGGCTGGATTTGGTCCACAGGCCATGGTTGCCAACCACTGCGTTAGAACTCCCTATAATGGTGGAAATATTCTGTGTCTGTGCTGTCCAATATGGTAGCCACGAGTCATGTGTAATTATTGAGCACTTGGAATGTGGCAAGGTGACTGAGGGGCTGGATTTAAAATTTTTTTATTTTAATTAGTTTAGGTTAACACAGCCACATGTGGCTAGTAGCTGCAGTTTTGGACACTAGAGCTCCACACAGTGCCTTGAGCAGGTGTCTGGTGAGTGTTGCAATTAAATTGGGGATTACACTTTTCTTCTGTTACCACCAATAGGATAAAATGATGACAGAGAGAACCCTGTTGAAGGAACGTTACCAGGAGGTCCTGGACAAGCAGAGGCAAGTGGAGGATCAGCTCCAAGTGCAACTAAAGCAACTTCAGCAAAGGAGAGAAGAAGAAATGAAGAACCACCAGGTTTTCTGTTTATGTTAAAATTGTCAATGAGTAAAGCTATAGTCCCTAATCAAACTTTAATTTTGTTTCCAAGTTAATAGGAATAGAAAAGTAGTATTTAATTTTTTAATGGTTATCATAGAATTTTAAGGATAAAAATAGCCTTTGGGGGCATCTTATTAAAACTCTCACTTCTGTTTTAGTTCAGAGAGAAAAGGATTGTTTACTTAATATAGTTTGTTGGTGTAATTGACAGTCTTTCTAGGAAATAATTTATTAGTCTCTTATATCACATATTTAAAAATACAATTCTAGGTGGATTAAAAACCTACATATAAAAAGTGGAAAAATCTTTCAAATTAGAAAAAAATTTAGGAGAATTTATATATATAAAAGGCTAATATGCTAAGTGTCCGTTCAGGTAATGACATCACGTAGCAATGCCCAGCTTCCTCTCCCTAGCGACAACTAGCCTCCTTGCAGTTTCTTCAGCCCAGGAACACAACTTGCTTTATAACCAGGTGGAAACATTTCACACTGTAACCAAATGTCTGTGAAGAGTTTTCCCGTGCCTCATCTCATTTGATCCTCACAGTAGTCCTGGAGTAGGTAGATAGGAGACTCGGTGGAATCCTATTTTCTTTTCATTAGCCGGAAAACAGAGATTTAGAAAGCTTAGAAACTTGACCTGACTGAAAAGAGGAAATGGTGGACCTTGAAAATGACTTCAGGTTTTCTCACTGCGCAGAATATAGTCAAACACTGCTGCAGTTAAATATTTTACCCTTTGTTCTCCCTGCGTGATCTACAATAATAATCTGCTTTGTGTTGATATTTACTGCTGTGTTGCTGACAATTACCTGAAAGAGAAGTTGGGGTGCTTCACTGGGCTGGAAAAAGTTTATCTACATCAGAAAGCAGCTCTAATTAAGCAAGTTTATTCCATATTATAAAAGGCTAAGTCGACTCGCGCATGCGCGATACATATAAAGCTCTCGCTAGTGCCAATTGCACGCATGTGTTTCCATCTGTCATTGTGGATCGTGAATTTGGTTCACACTTCTATTATAGAGAAAGGGCATATAGCGATATTAAAATATTTTTTCTAATTATTTTCCTTTGAATGTGCACAAATTCGTGCCCCGAGCCACTAGTACAGGGATGGCGAACCTTTTGAGCTTGGCGTGTCAGCATTTTGAAAAACCCTAACTTAACTCTGGTGCCGTGTCACATATAGAAATTTTTAGATATTTGCAACCATAGTAAAACAAAGACATATTTTTGATATTTATTTTATATATTTAAATGCCACTTAACAAAGAAAAACCAAAAAAATGAGTTCGCGTGTCACCTCTAACACGCGTGTCATAGGTTCGCCATCACTGCATTAGTATATATATAAAATCTCAAGTTGCAAGAGATCATTTTAAGCCAGGCAGAAAACCCAGAAGCCACAAACAATTTAATTACATGTAATTAAAAACTTTTGATACAGCAAATGACACAAAAAGTAAAAAAGATCAATGTTAGGCTAAGAGAAAATATTAGTAGTACATCTGATGAAGGGTTTAATATCCATGACATTCTGAGATTCATGTAAATTCATGGTAAAAGTCACAGAATCTACAGAAAACCAGGGAAGGTTATTGTATTAGTTCTCTATTGCTGCTGTAACAAATTACCATGAGTTTGGTGGCTTAATTTATAGGTCAGAAGCCCAACATGGGCGCCATTAGGTGAAAATCAAGCCCTAACCGGTTTGGCTCAATGGATAGAGCGTCGGCCTGCGGACTGAAAGGTCCCAAGTTCGATTCTAGTCAAGGCATGTACCTTGGTTGCGGGCACATCCCCAGTGGAGAGTGTGCAGGAGGCAGCTGATCGATGTTTCTCACTCATCGATGTTTCTAACTCTCTATCCCTCTTCCTTCCTCTCTGTAAAAAATCAATAAAGTATATTTTAAAAAAAAGAAAATCAAGTTATTAGCAAACCTGCAACTGAGGTACCTTCCCTTGACTGGGAATCAAAACTGCGACCCCTTTGGCTCAGTGGATAGAGCGTCGGCCTGCGGACTGAAAGGTCCCAAGTTCGATTCTGGTCAAGGCATGTACCTTGGTTGCGGGCACATCCCCAGTGGAGAGTGTGCAGGAGGCAGCTGATCGATGTTTCTAACTCTCTATCCCTCTCCCTTCCTCTCTGTAAAAAATCAGTAAAATATATATTTTTAAAAAGTTCTTTAAAAAAAAACCAAAAAAACTGCGACCCTTCGGTGTGCAGGCCGATGCTTGTCCAGGCTGATGCTCTAACCATTGAGAACACTGGCCAGGGCAGGTCCTTCATTTTTAAAGACCCATGTTGTGATTGGATTGGGCCTACCCAGATAATCCAGGGTTACCTTCCCATCTCAAGATTCTTCCCCACATCACATCTATAGAGTTTCTTTTCCCATGGAAGGTAAGACATTCCAGGGATTAGGATAAGGAAAAGCAAATAGGTAATAAGTATATGAAAGAAGCACAGCCTCACTGGTACTCATTCATTTACTCAGCAACTATTTTTTGAGTTCCTGATCTAGGCTGTGAAGATTTAGTGGTGAACCAAACATAGTCTCTGCCTTCATTGAATAGTTATTATAGTTGGAGGAGACAGACAGTAAAAACAATGGGAGTTAGGGCCCTACCAGCGTAGCTCAGTGGTTGAGTGTCAGCCTATGGACCAGGAGGTCACAGTTCGATTCCTGGTCACTATACATGCCCAGGTTGCGGGCTGGATCCCCAACGTTGGGTGTGCAGGAGGCAGCTGGTCGATGATTCTCTCTTGTCATTGATGTCTCTCTCCCTCTCTCTCTCCCTCTCTCTCCCTCCCTCTCTCTCCCTTCCTCTCTTAAATCAATAAAGACATATTAGAAAAAAAAAAAAGAATGGGAGTTAGGGAAACGCTCATTATAATTAGTTACCATTCCTCCTTCTCCCCCAAGGGATTGGCAAAAATGAAATAAGTTGTCAGGTGTGAGGAAAAATGGGTTCTTTTTCAGACATTGGTAGGAGTATGAATTGTTATGACCTTTTTGGAGATGTTATTAGGAATAGTTGGTTAAAATTTAAAATGTACATATACTGTGACCTAGGAATCTCAGTATTACGAGTCTGTTGAACAGAAATAGAAGTTTTTGTATGAAAGTGTACACATCTAGAGTGTTTATTACAGCATTACTTATAGTTACAAAAAAGCTGAATTCAACCTGATGGGCTCTTGACAGAGAATGGTCAGACAAATTGCATATATGCACATTATGTCATATGCAGCCATTTTTGAGTTAGATCTATGTTTATTGACATTATCTTCATTTCAAGTGAAAAAGAAATCAGGATACAGAATAACATATATAAAATGACCTCAGTTAAGAAAACACAAAAACAGTGAAATACATAAGTATACATGTGTTTGTGTGAGAATGGAGAAAAATGTGAAAGCACAAAACAGTCAACGCTTTGATTGTTATGGATGGAATTAGTGTGAATTAGGGAGTGACTTAACACGATCACTTTTTTGTGTGTGTGTGGTTTTCCATCTTAAATTTTCTTTTATTGTCTAAAGTTTTACGTATGTCTCCTTTTTCCCTGATTGACATCTCCCCGCCCC